TACCTGCAAAAAGTTAGAGCAGAAGAAAGGGTCTGTAGCACACGGTTTCCGAAATGCTACTGAGAAAGTCTGTGTCAGGATAGTTGTGTGCTCTTGATTCCGTCTTCGTCAAGGGGCATTGGTACAGGAGTTAAACCATCTCTTGCCCTTCTCCATGGTTATCCTTTATCTATTGGATATTTTTCTCTTATATGCACCCAATATTTCTTTATTGCAAAATAAGCATTTCCCCTCACTATTAGTAACCAAAGTCACAACATTCTCTCTGCCCCTCTTCTCTACCATTATAGTTCTTTTATTAGAATCCTCAGCTCCCTGTCTCATTGCCTCTATTCGCCCTCTCTTCTTAAAAGACTGATAAGACCACTTGCTCAAGTTTTCTGGTGAGAATCCCCACGTACACTAGTCTTGTTGAACTTCAGTATCTTGAACCTTCTACCTTCTCCTCCCTTCTCTTACTTGCTGTCTCCTTGTGAACTCTCATTCTCCCAAATCTTCCTACTATGTGTAGGTACTGACCAAGGCTATATATATATATCTAACCTTTATTATGTACACACACACACACACTTTCTCTTCTTTCCTAAATATGTCTCTAAAAGTCATATCGCCCATTCTGACAATTTCATGGTCATCTGTGCCCCCAACACACACACACACACACACACACACACACACACACACACACACACACTCACATTATTGCACTATCAATTTGGGAGACAGAGACTGTGTTTATTGATTTCATATTCCCTCTAATGTTAGCCTAGGACAGTGCAATATAGGCAGCCAGTAAAAGAGCTGCCCAATTGACTAGAAGAGTAATGTTCTGTAAAAGTGGGTCTTTCCAGCACATTCCAGAACCTGGTTTATTTCCAGATATGACAGGAGTGCAAAAAGTAAACAAACCTCAGGGTGTTACAGTGTTCCAAATGACTAGGCACTCTGGGTGAGGTGGCTGAGGATCTGTTTATTTTCAAGGTTGAGAAAGAAAAGATAGAATAAACTAATGTGTATTGCAGATCACAATGCTGTATTTGCAGCAATAAGTGCCTAATAAGTGCAAACTTTTTAAGCAAGATTTTATGCTTCATTTACTTTAACAGGACAAAAGCCTACATTTCAAAATAACTATCCAACACCAGATTGAGGAATCCTTTCTAAGAGGTGCAAATGACTCCAATATTAAGTAAGGAAATAGAGTAGATGAGTCATTATCCAACTGTTAAGGAAGACCTGTACATTTCCAAATAATTTTTTCTCTCCATGAAGTTATCTCATTTTCTCCCTGCCAAGTAAAGTTAATTAAATAACAATAATAAATTGAAAGTTTATGAAATTATATGTGAGTGAGGAAAGTAGATATTGGTTTGGGCTGATGAACATTGTTGAACATGTCTCTCTCATTTGTGTTATAACTTTCTTCCAGAACGAGTCATGGGGCAAATAAATGGATATATAGGCTCAGTGTGTGCAACCAACTGAGGGTTTTATTTGCATCTAGGCTGACCATCTGTTATATACAGTGCAGACTTGCCTTGGAGCCAATTCAAGAAGAGAATGCCCATGGATTTCAAAAGAAATGTTCTACTTGATGTGGCCACATGTGGAACTCAGAAATGAATATGGGCTAGGAAAGGAGAAAGGGAAAAGCTACTGATTCTTACGGGCTGAATTTGAACATTTTCAAAATTTCTTTCATTTTTAAATTTTTTTTAATTGTAAACATGTTGGGTAGAATTCAGGGTTAGGTATACAAATGTTCATTATGCAGGTATTCTTGTTGATAAGGTGTGCCCCCCTACCCCACCAGCAGTTTCCCACTACTGTCAATCCCTTTTTTATAATATTACTATAGTTGTTCGAGGTCCACTTATAAGTGAGAACATGTACTATTCAGTTCTTTGTTTCTGTGATACATCACTCAGTATAATAGCCTCTAAGTCCATCCAAGTCTCTCTTTATGTGTACCCGTTAGCTTAGCTATCCTCAAAGTCAGCCCAAGGAGTTCATTTACAAGCAAATGAAATCAAGGTTCTGGTGATACTCACAATGGGTTCCCTTTACACATCCTTCTCCTTCTGTGGTACCCAAAAAAGCACTGTGTCCCAAATTTCTGTCCCAAGTCTACCACTCATCCCTCTTAATAAGTTTTCCCTTATCATACCCATCATTAACCATGACTTAAACTGTAGCTCATGGTAGTTGACTCCCAGTCTCTCTACTCCAATTTGGGCCTTATTCTTTTTCTGCATCTCTAACTGCCCTGGGAACAGTCCCATTTCTTCAAGTAATCACTACCTCCAATTTGGCATGTCTCCTACACAGACTCATGTCTTCCCTCCAATGAACAGCCCTCCTTCCAATTTCTTCTATCATATTATCAACAATACTATACTACTCCTTCCAAATACTTTTTATTTTTCTCTTCCTTGATCTCATATCTAACCAGTAACAAAGTTACATCGTGTTTTTTGCAGCTCTCAGTCCCTTTTGTGAGAGTCTGGACAAATCTAGCAAGGAAGCCAATTTTGTGTTGGCATTATGTGGAAGGATGCATCTTAACTGGGCCAAGAGGTCACTTGGAATGCTGGAAACCCATGTAGTCCAAAAGTCAAGTGCAGAATAGAGTCATGGAGGGGAGTCAAAATTTGGTACTAGAACAGCAAGGACAGTCATTCATCAGAACTGCATTACTGAAGTTGCAGAAAGGAGCAAGGACAGGGTCTGTCTTGTCCATCTTTGATTCCCAGAGTCTAGTATATTGCCTGCTAATGGCAGGCATCCAATAAATGCCCATACACAAGGCAAGTTTAGATTGAACTCTTATTCAAGATTACATCAAGTAATACTCTCTCATTTTCATTATTTTAAACCATCAAGTAGTGTTTGGGGAAGACACGTTAGACAGGAATCACATCCATCAATGTTAATGTTGGCGGTCTATAAAGGTAATCTGACATATAATGGATAAATAAGGAGGAAAGGAATTTTAATAATATTTAATATATTGTGTGGTGCTTTGACTTTAAGAAGTCATATGTTTGATGTCATCATAAAAACACATTTAAAAATTGCTTTATGAGCTGGGCTCGGTGCTCAGCCTGTAATCCCGCACTTTGGGAGGCTGAGGTGAGTGGATTGCCTGAGCCCATGGGTTCGAGACCCGTCTGGGCAACTTGGCGAGACCTCATCTCTACAATAAATCAAAAAATTACCTGGGCATGTTAGCACACGCTTGTAGTTCCAGCTACTTGGATGGCTGAGGTGGAAGGATCACCGGAGCCCAGCAGGTCAAGGCTGCGGCGGCCGGGAGTGGCTACTGCACTCCATTCTGGGTGTCAGAATGAGACTCCAACTCAAAAAAAGAAAAATTGCTTTATGTAATGTAGAGATCAAAAATATTCATCTACCAGACTGATTTTTTAAAATCTATTTTGTGGCTTGGGCTAAAACTTCTAGTAACTAAATTACACAGAGATTTCAAAAATTCTGCATCTCAAACCATGTGAAGGAAATTAAGGTGATATACCCTTGAAAACTGTGTTTGTTGGGGTGATGACAGACTATGAGAATGGCAAAAAAAAGCATTTCTAATTCACATGATTTAATCTAATGAATCATGCTGAATACATATGTGTGTATGAGCTAAATTAATATATCAAATGTTAGTAGACATTTGACAATTTCTTGTAAATTGCTAAAAGTTATATTCCCAGTGGTCAAAATACTTTTTATAGATCCTCTCATTAATAAATGGGAAATCTGCAGAGTGACATATTTGTTAAATAAAATAATGAATGTATAAGTATGTATTTATTAAGGACTAAGGCTTAATTAAATATTATCATTAGAAATAAGTTATTTACTAATCCATTAAGCAGATATTGATTAAGCTACTATTTACAAACTTAAGTTAAACAGTAATCAGAATGATTTGATGCTAAAAGTCTACTTTGCACTGGAAAGTAAAACAAAACAAAATTTTAAAAACTTTTTTTATGAAAAAATGCAAACATACAGAAGAGTAGAAAAAATAATATAACAAACACCTATATGGCCTCCATCTAGATTCAACAGTTGTTAACATTTTCCCAAAGTTGCTTTATGTGTATGGACAATTTTAACATACCATTTGAAAGAAAATTACAGCTATCATAATGCTTTACTCCTTAGTATATGCCCTGAGCATATACAAAGAGTAAAACATTCTCTTATGTAACTATAATGTTTCTATCATCCTTAAAATTTTAATAATTCCTTAATAATATATATTGATAGTCTACTCAGGATTTCTACAGTTGTTCAAAATGTCTTTAGCCTGTTTTTTTATTTTTTTACCTGTTTAAAAAAATAAAAAGGACCCAGTGAAAACATGCACAATGTATTGACTTATTTCTCTTATTTCCTTTATCTTAGAAGAAATGACTTTTTGAAAAGACTAGGCCAGCAGTCACATAAAAAGTCTTATATTCTGGATTATCTGATTGTTTTCTTATAAGGTTTTTTACCATGTTCCTTTATCCCAATATTTCTTGTAAAAATAAAAGTTAAATAGCCTGTGTTCAGATTAAGTGTTTCACAGGTGATACTGTGTATTAAATATTACAACATAAGAGGGTAGAATGCTAATCGTTCTAACATCGGGGATATAATTTGATGACCTGGTTAAGGTAACTACCCCAAGTTTGTGATTAGGAAGTAAGCTATGGAGTCATACCTTAGCATCTTGCACCTATTTCTCATTATTTTTTCACCTAACGGTTTGAGCATCTGTTGAGAATTTTTGCTTCAATCAATTATTTCATTAACAGCTGTAAAATGAAATTTACAATTCTGATTACTCTTTTCAATGATCAGTTTCCAAATTCTCTCAAGTGGCTTTTAAAATCCTAAATATGTTCTTTGAAATTTAAAGGATTGAAATTTAAAACTGTAAAATATCATAGTATATGTGTAATGGCGGAGTGCTAACTTTCGATTTGCCTTTGCATTTTCAGCAAAATGGGAAGCTACATGTTTATGATAAACGGATTGTTGAATCCTTTGAGGAAGCACCTCTTCATGTTATGGTTTTCACTTACATGGGATATGGAATTGGAACCCTGTTTGGCTATCTCAGAGACTTTTTGAGAAACTGGGGAATAGAAAAATGCAACGCAGCCGTAGAGCGAGACGAACAAAAAGTACGTATGTGCACCTCCGTCATCTTTGCCAATGCCTACTCTTTTCTAAAATATTATCAGAAGTGGTGATGCAGATACAGATTCTAGAAGGAATGACATGCTCAAGAATTATTCAGGGTAAATTCCATTAATCTGTACCCATTCAGCCTGGTGTGTTCATGGACTTGTTTTTTTGTTTGTTTGTTTTTAACATTGTTTTATAGATAGATTTTATTTTGTTTTGTTTTGTTTTATAGAGAAGAGTGCTGTCTGTGTGACCCAGACTGGTTTTTTTTTTAAGTCAGAGTCTCACTCTGTCACCCAGGCTGGAGTGCAGTGGCATGCTCACAGCCACAGCAGCCCTGACCTGCCGGGCTCAGGCAATCCTTCTGCCTCAGCCTTCCAAGTAGCTGGAATTACAGGCATGCATCACCACACCCAGCTAATTTTTCTTGATTTATTGTAGAGATGAGGTCTCACCAAGTTGCCCAGACTGATCTCGAACACGTGAGTTCAGGCAATCCTCCCACCTCGGCCACCCAAAGTGCTGGGATTATAGATGTAAGCCACTATGACCATGGACTTGTTTTGTTTTTTGAGTTGTAGTCTCACTCCATCGCCCAGGCCGGAGTGCAGTGACACACTCACCGCCATCCCAGCAGCAACATGCTGGGCTCCAGCAATCCTTCCATCTCAGCCTTCCAAGTACCAGAACTACAGGCACGCGCTACCATGACCAACTAATTTTTTTTATTTATTGTAGATATGAGGTCTCACCAAGTTGCCCAGACTGGTCTCGAATCCCTGGGCTCAGGTAATCTTCTTGCCTTGGCCTCTCAAATTGCTGGGATTACAGTAGGCTTGAGACACAGCACCCGGCCTGAACTTGTTTTTTATAAGCAACTACTATTTGCCAAATACTGAATGAAGAGTTTTCTCATACACTATAATATTTAATTTTTATAGCAACCCCATGAGATAGATATTAAAATACCATTTTAAAGATTAAAACATCAAAATGTAAGAGTAAGGGCACCTGGGTGGGACTGTAATCTGGTATTCTGGCTGTAAATTGACTATTATGTATGTTGTATTCTGAAATAGAGAAGTGCTTCCAAGGAAAATGGAACATTTTTGTTTTATGTATGTCAGTTTTCTCTCCTTTGACACTATTAATATTTTGGACTGGATACTTCTTTGATGTAGGAGGCTGTCCTGTGGATTTTAGGAATTTTAACAGCATCTCTGGCCTTTATCTATTAGATTATCTATTAGCACCTTCACACACACACCTGTGACAAATAAAATTGCCTCCAGACATTGCCAAATGTCTCATGGGATGCAAAATCATTTATGGTCTAGAACAGGGGTCCTCGAACTTTTAAAACAGGGGGCCAGTTCACTGTCCCTCAGACCGTTGGAGG